ATTATGTGACAACACATATAGTGTCATGTTATGTATGGTTCCAGACTTCATGGCTTCTCTTAAGTTTCCCAGTTGGAACAAGTGTCTTTGGGCCTGAAGAAGAAAATCACGTCTTGTGTAAGTGATGGTTAAGACTGTGATAAAGTTATGTGAATGGGATTCTCTTTTGCACGCATTCAGGTAGAAATACTCTTTGCCAATCCTTCCACAGGCTGCAATGCTTGACTGTAAGGGTGGAAGCTCTAGAGTCTGAGCCCACTGTAACTGAAGTTGCCTTGCTCCAGAGTTCTTTTGTATTCCTCTGCATTGTGTTTTGTTGTTAACTGGAAGAATTAATGCTGGACCTCCAGTCACCTACATTATAATTAAGGAGTGTTTGAGTATTAATAGACTCTGATTCATGCAGTTAAAAAATATCCTACTGAACTGTCTTATTTTAAGAGAATAAAAGCCGCCCTTAAGCAATGGATGAGAAAAAGTCCTTGAGTCATTTCAACCTAACCACGTCTCACCTCTCACTGACCTACTCTAGAACTTGAGACAGGAGCCCTTTAATTAGACAAAATGGTCAGGAGGAATAAGGTCCCCTCCGGAGAGATAAATGATAATGTCCTAAGCATCTTAAGCATTTTGATAATCATTGTTCTTTTCTTCTGCAGTATCATCTCTGCAGCATTTCTTCTAAGCTCAAGATACAAACTCCTATGGAAAGTCTGTGGATGAACGGATAAAGAAGATGTGGTGTCTGTATACACACACACACACACACACACACACACACATATAATAGAATATTAACCAGCTTTAAAAAAGAAGGAAATCCTTGTATACACACACATACACACACACACACACACACACACACACATATAATAGAATATTAACCAGCTTTAAAAAAGAAGGAAATCCTTGTATACACACACACACACACACACACACACATACACACACACACACACACACAGGAATATTAATTAGCTTTAAAAAATAAGAAAATCCCACCATTTGCTTCAACAAAGATGATCCTGGAGTGTGTTATGCTAAATGACAGAGGCCAGACAAAGAAAGACAAATACTGTGTATGTGAAATCTAAGAAAACCTAAAACCAAAACCCAAAAAGTCACATTCATAGAAACAAAGTAGAAGGGTGGTTGCCAGGGTTAAGGGGAATGGGGGAAATGAAATGAGGTGATATGGGTCGAAGGGTACAAACTTTTCATTATAAGTAAGTTCTGAGATCTGATGTATAGAATGGTGATTATAGTTAATAATGCTGTGCTTGAAATTTGCCAGAAGAGTAGATCATAAATGCTCTTGCCAAAAAAAGAGTAAAAGATTGCTACTTGAGGCAATGGATGTATTAATTGACAATATAATTTTTCTACAATGTATACATATATTGAATCATCATACTGCACTTTAAATACATAATTTTTGTCAATTATATCACCATAAAAATAAAAATATTAAAAAGAAAGCCTGTGACAAGTTTTGCTACTTAATTTTGATGTGGTTGATCAAAAATCACAGACTTTCAGAACTGGCAGATACTTCAGAGCTGGCCCAATTTCATCATTTCACAGACAGCAAATCCAAGTCATCTTCCTAATGGACACTCACAGGCAAGAGAGACGCTCTGTGACCTGTTTATCACTGTACTTCCAGGGACTAGTATGGCAGCATCTAACACTTGGTAGAGCTCTGCAGATTTTTTTGTTATTGTTGATATACATACCAATTGCCGGGTAGAATAAAGTTCACACATCTAATTAGCTGTAGAATGTACATAAGACAACAAGCCTTCTGGGTGTCAGGCCTATTGTCTCCCTTGAAGCTAGTTAACATATTACAATTCATCCCAGTTTTCAGGGCAAGACTCACAAGTGTCCAAATTAACAGCTAAGAAGTGTCTTCAATCTTTTCCATATACCTAGAAGGAACTCTGGGTTAGAATTTGTGGGCTCCTTTCTCCACAATTCTTAGAAGTGAGAACTTCTGCATTTCTGTCAGAAAGGGGGCATGTCCTATCTCTTTCTCCACCTCTCTACTTGGTCTCAGGGATAGTGATGGTGGGGTTTTCATCATATCCCCCATAGCAAAGCACAATGCCACCTTGACTGGATGCTGGTGATGTGTTGGTTCCAGAGGTGAGACCCTGAGGGTCTGCCAGGGTAGCATGTCTACCCACCAGGAACGTGATATCTAGCTAAATCTTGAAATGACCAGTATCACATCAATGAAACAAAATCATATTTAGGGAAAGAGCTTCCATCCTTTTCTTAATTAGGGAATTACACAGTCTTTCCTGATGTCAACAGACCTCTGCCCCAAACTCGAATGAAGTCGGGGATCTGTCAGCAAGTTGAAGGAGTCAGGCACACTGTGTTGGTCATGGCCGCAATTGCTTACATCCCTCCTGCCCACTCCAGGATTGGTTTTGGAAGCCATCAGGTGATCTAAGCCTTCAGTGGAGGATGTGTGTGGGGTGTACAAGTTGCTCTCCTGCTGCTCTTTAAACCAGACTGACACAGCCAAGGATCACAAACATACCTATTAGACCACACAACCAAGGCTGAGTTCCTTGGGAGATTTTTCCAGCCTCTTAATGCCAGTATTCTTCCCTTATAAGATGAAGGTGTAAGCCACAGAGAAGATTTCTGCCCATGTACCCTCTTTACTGTTTTTGCTGTGGTCAGGGAAGGCTGCAGTGCCTGGAGGCTTGATTTGGAGCTTCCTATCTGGATCCTCAAGGGGAGCTCTGACACCACTGAGCTTCTGTCCTAAAGCCACAAGCAGTCTAATTCCAAAATCCTTGACCTCATGATTAAGCTTCTATTTGCTGGATACACTGACCAAAGCCAAAGGCACTTGTCACACACTCATGAAACCAACCCTGGTGGTGGCCCTATGATGATTTCCTGTTGGCCTCAGGCTAAAACGCAACCCTTATCATGGCTGAGAAGGCCTGTGAGCCCAGCCTGCTCCCAGCCTGCAAGCCACCTGTCACCACCTTTTCCTCCCCAGGCTCTACCAGCTGTCACTGTAGCACATCCTGACCCCCCACATTCCAGCCACACTCTCCACTCCCCCAGGATCTATGGTTTGCTCACCTTTTAGAAAACAGCTGAAACAGCTCTATTCTGGAGAGCCTTCTCCAGCACCCTGGCCCAAATGATCTGTTCTTCTTCTATCTCCCTCTGCACATCCTGGGTTGGATTCATCTTAGCACTTACTGTACCATACTGAGTTTTCTCTCACTGCACTGCACTCCCTGAAGGCAATCACCACAGTCAGCTTGGTCCTTGCTGTATCCCCACAAGGACACTGGTAATACAAATATGTTGGACAAAGGAAGGTATACCAGGAACGTAATGAAGCTGGCAGGTTCATTGGTTCATACGGGAGAGTTAATGGGCATGCAGTTTTTGTGCCATAAGTCAAACAACAAACACATCATCCACCTCAAAGGACAGGTGTGTCTTCACGCACATTGAAGGCATGGGTATTATGGAGGAGAAGTCAGATTACCTGATGGTTTTGATCATGCTGAGGCCCATTTCAACGCAGCAGTGGGCGTGGTCCTGGCGGGGCTCAGGAAGCCCTGAAACACAGTAGTAACAGTCCCCCAGGATTTTAATGCGAAGGCAGTGATGCTCCTGGAAGGAACAGGGCGGAGAGGACAGGACTGAGTCAGCAGACTGGTAAGTGCTTCCGAAAGGCTTGGGAAGGCAGGCAGTGGGGTCAGGCGGTCTTCACCCTGGGCATGGGGGAACACCTACCTTTGAAATACACTTCCGTCATCTTCCTAAGAGATTGGCGGGTATCCTAAATAAGAGTTTGAAGGGCTCAGAGGTAGAATGGAGTCACAGAAAAACACTGGAGTTTGAGCTCAACAAATACAGGGCTGTATCCCAGCTCTGCCACCTACTAGCCTTCTGATGAACACCTATCAGGTGGGCAGGCCTGGCCAAGAGTGGGCATTTAAAACACACGTTCAGTGTTCCCCTGTGAATCCTGCTCATCAGTGTCTTTTTTTCACAGGACAGATCTCTGAATTAATAGTTTTTAGCAGTCCTAGCTCAAGAATAAGCAATTAAAAGTACAAATCACCCAGGGATGCCTACTATTTCAACTCTGTTTTAGGCCCTTTCCCAACTAGCGTACTGACACCTTAAGAAGAGGGTCTGACTCTGTCTCACATATCATTTTATTCATGTGTGAGTTCATATGTTTATTCATTGAAAAAAAATGTCAATAGGGAACTATGATTAAATCAAGCATTGTCCCTGACACGAAATTTTTAATAATAACCCCTCTGATGCACCCTATATTAAACAGTGTTAACTGTCACAACAAGCCTATCAAGTAGGTACAATTTTTATCCTCGTTAAGGTAAGGGTAGTACCTTCAGTACCTCGTAGGTATGGAGGATGGCACAGATGTTTGACAGATTCGCAGTCTTGAGGACACGATTCTTACTGAGTCTCAAAGAACAACAAGCACCAGGGAAAAGGTGCATTTTCACGCTGGGTGGGAAGAGGTAGGATGATGCAGGTTTTCAAGGAAAGAGACCTTCAGGCAGCATAACGTAGGGGCTAAGAGCACTGGCTAAAGAGTCACACTGCACTGGATTAAATCCTACATCCCTACAGCTAACTTAACTTCTGAACCTCTGTTGCCTCATTGGTAAAATGGTAAAAGAATGGGACCTCGTCTTTGACTGTGAGGATAGTAAGAGGAGGTGTATGGAGGCTTAATATGGGGTCCAGCAGACAGGGGACTACATCAGTGTTGCCTGTCTCTGTGATGAAGAGTGGGGCTCTTGACCCAGTTTTCTCATATTTGTCTGTGATCGTGGGCAGATGACTTTCTCTTTTGGCTTCCTTGGTTACATGGGTGGAACCGAATGACCTCTGAGATGCATCCCAGATCTGAAGTCCTAAAAGCTTACGGGGTTTGTGAGTGCAAGGTTCTCCTTGGGGGAGCAGGATCCAAGGACAGAGGAGAGGAGGTATGCACAGAGACAGAAGCAGCATAGTGGACACCTTGTCCTGCCAACCTACATAGCACCATGATGGTTTCCTGATCAGATCAGGGGATTCAGTCATTGTGTTTGGGTAACAAATGAATGAAATCATTCTCACAATACAAAACACAAATATCAGACAGAGAAAAGAGAAAGAGAACTGGCACAAGTGCTTTCCCGCCTGGCTCAGATTGGCAGGATGTTGCCAACCTTCCCAAATGGGCTCAGATGCAGTCTTCAGAACTCTGATGGCATGCACAGCTGTCCCAAGGTTATTTTTGGGAGCTTGTGGTTCCTGTCTTTTGGCTGCTTTGTTGCAGCTAATTTTGCAAGAGACCTTCTGATGGGGGCTCTGATTAATAAGGGAGGCTCCAGACCTTCAGCTGTGTCTCCTAAGACCCCTAGTATATGGCTGGAACAGAGCCAGAGAGTACTTGGCCTACAGTTCCTGGCATTTTCCAGATCTGTGGCATGTATGGGACAATTATAAAAACAAAGCAAAATAAGAAGGCCCAAGGGACTGCTATAAAGTTCAATTTTGTATTTTGCCAAAGAGAAGTATGAAAAATCCATCAACAAACAAAAAAACCCCAAGTACCATCCACTATCCCCATGACTTTATGAAAGAAAGGGCATTTTTTTTTAAGAAAGAGCATTTTTAACACCTAAAAAGTAAAAAAGACATTCTTAAAAGAACGTGTTTGGAACTAAATAAAATTATCATAAAAACTCAGTATATTACAGATAAGTATGTGTATATTTTATCTCATGGCCACAAGTTGAACTTCCTGATATTTGATTATTAAAGAGCATTTGAGAACCATGGATAAAATAAGTCAGATTGAGATTTTGCTGAGAACACTGAGGCTGAGAGACTCAGTAGGTGCATTCAGTCAAGCACGCTCTTTGGGGGCAGAAACCACTCTGAGTGACTCAAGCTAATGGTAGTCTGGAGCGCTGAGGGCTGGCGCTGGGGAGGGGGGAGGGAAAGGGTAGAGAGGAAATGCGTTAGTTTAAGAATCCAACATCTGGATTCTGGTCACATTTACCAGCTGTGTGACCTTGGCTGAATCACTGACATCACTGAGATGTGAGTTTCAATTGCCCGTGTAGGAAATGTGTCAAAGTAACCCACCGTGTTCTTAATACATAGTAAAGTAAGCATGACCATCGGTTAGCAATGGTAGCCATGACCACAAACACCTGGAAACAGCCATCCCAATGTCCAGTGATCTTTCTTCTTTTGAGTCTTGTCATAATAGCCCTGAACAAAGAGGACAGGTAGGATTTACACCTGTCTTTATATATGAAGATTTTCATATGAACGATAGGAAATAATGTGAAAAATTTCCTGTGCTACAGATAAGCTGGCTAAAAGTAGTGATACGGCAAGATTTTATTCTTTTTTGTGGCTCAGTTATACACACACACACACACACACACACACACACACATATCTTCTTTATCCACTCATCAGTTGATGGATACTTAGGCTGTTTCCATAATTTGGCTGTTGTAAATAATGCCGCTATAAACATTGGGATACACGTATCCTTTTGAATTAGTATTTTTGCTGGATTTTGGGGTAATTCTATTTTTAACTTTTTGAGGAAACTCCATACTGTTTTCTAGAGTGGCTGTGCCAGTCTGCATTCCTACCAACAGTGCATGAGGGTTCCCCTTTCTCCACATGCTCATCACCATCTGTTGTTACTTGTGTTGTTGATTTTAGCCATTCATACAAGTGTGAGATGATAGCTCATTGTAGTTTTGATTTGCATTTTCCTGATGATGAGTGATGTTGAGCATCTTTTCATGTGTCTGTTGGCCATCTGCATGTCTCCTTTGGAATAATGTCTATTCACATCTTCTGCCCATTTTTTAATTGGATTATTTATTTTTTTGAGTGTTGAGTTTTATAAGTCCTTTATATATTTTGGATACTAACCCTTTATCAGAGATGTCATTTACAAATATCTTCTTCCATTCTATAGGTTATCTTATGGTTTTGTTGATTTTTCCTCTGTTTTGCAGAAGGCTTTTCTTTTGATAACTGTTGAATGGATAAAGAAGAGGTGTCTCTCACACACACACACACACACACACACACACACACAGGAATATTACTCAGCCATAAAAAAGAATGAAATCTTGCGACTTGCACAACATGGATGGAACTAGAGAGTGTAATTCTAAGCAAAATAAGTCAGAGAAAGACAAATACCATATTACTTCATTCATGTGGAATTTAAGAAGCAAAACAAATAAGCAAAGGGGAAAAAGAGAGAGGAGAGAAATGAAGAAACAGACTCTTGATTGTAGAGAAGAAACTGATGGTTACCAGAGTGGGGGAGGAGGGTGGGGATAGTGCTGAAATAGGTGATGGGGATTAAGGAGTGCACTTGGGATGAGCACTGGGTGATGTATGGAGTTGCCGAATCACTGTATTGTATACCTGAAATTAATATCACACTGTATGTTAACTAACTGGAATTTAAATAAAAACTTAAAAAATGTGTTATGGGCTGCATGTGATATTCATCAACTCTTAATCAGTGATTTTCCATGAAAATAGATAGATATAAGAGCATTTTGGAAAAACTTAAGTAGGGAAAAGAAGTAATATTTATTGAGCATCTACTATGTGCCAGGAGATGTGTTAACTACATTCCATTTAGCTTGGTGAGTCTTCATGAGCACATTTCAAGTCACGTGCCATTTCACAGATGGCCTAATTAAGCGAAGGTCACAAAGCAAGTAAGAGACAGAGCTGGAACTCGCACCCATGTCTGTCTACCTTTGCCTAACTCCACGCTGTTTCTCCAGGAAACTGAAGACATGATGACAGAATCCAGAACAGTAGCTCTCCTGACAGAAATGTGTTTTGGGCAGAAATGGTGTAAAATGGTTTATCATCCTTCTGGAGGAGACACACGTAATGGGGTGAATGTGTCTGTGCCCAGCGTCCATTTTTCTTATAAACAAAGGTGAGGCTGGCAGCCTCTTTGAAAAACTTTGAGCTCAACACAAATGGTGTGTGCGTGTATATGTGTGCGTGTGTATAAAAATATATACACATGAAAGACCTGTCTGATCTGTCAAGTTCTGTCAATTTGCAAGCACATTTTTCTGATCAGTTCCTATGAGCTGTTAGATGACTTGACAGTAATATCCAAGCAACTTCTTTTTACCAGAAACTGCTTTAGGAAGTTTATATTAAGGAAGCAGGTTGCTTTGAAAAAAGATACTGAAAAAGAAAAATAAAGTAGGGTGAGGGTCTTCTTGCAAATTTTATTGAGTGAGTCTTATTATAATCCTTTTCTTCCCATCTCGATGGCTGTGATATAGTATAATGATTTTGGAAGTTTATGAAATCATGTTGATCATAGATGATAGTGAAATAATAAGAGCACCAAATTATCAAAGACGGTTATACTGTTAAGGAGGGATAGGATTACAAGGATGTACACTTGCTGCATTTTCTATACTTCTGATGTTTGAATTTTACATAATGAGTAAGTATGGCTTTAGTAATCAGAAAAAAGTCAATAAAAAGTAAAAGGCTGTGGGACACCAGTTGAGCATCTGCCTTCTGCTCAGGTCATGATTCCATGACCAGTCTGGGATCTG